TAGTTTATCTACAGAATGGTCTATAGACTTTACTCAAGATCAAACTAATATAAGCTTACCAAATTTTTATAATAATCCATCCATAGAATGGTTTACAGAATTTACTCAAAATCAAACTAATAATAATGTACCTACAAAAATGTCTATAGACCTTATTACTAACAATACGCTTATGGAATGGAATGGAGATTTTACTCCAAATCAAACTAATACAAGTTTGCTAAATATTAATAATAATCCAATTATAGAATTACCAGCAGGCATTGCTCAAAACTATGAGGATCAAATTAATCATAATCTATCCGTAGAATGGACCGCATGTTTTATTCAAGATCAAATTAATACAAATTCGCCAAATAGTTATAGTACGGAAATTACTCAACATTATGAGAAACAAATTAATACTTTACAAGATAATGCAGAATCAGTTAAAGACAGTAAATCTCCAATTTCACTCGTCTCTAGGCGTAGAAAATATATAAGAAAGAAGTGCAAAAAATGTAATTTTTACAAAATTCACTACAATAAAAATTCCGATCAATGCAAAGATTGTTATCGGGCCTCATTACGCGCCTTAAGTGGCAATAAATTAATAGACGATTTTATTAAATCAACACAAACTTTTAAAAACTGTACAAATAAGAAAAAATTAGAATTTATTCCATATAACCAATTTTCCAATATTGAATATCTTGCTAAAGGAGGATTTAGCGTAATATATAAAGCAGCATGGGTTGATGGGCCTATTACTCGTTGGAATTATAAGAAACAAAAATTTGTTCAACAAAAAAATTATGATGTTGTTCTTAAAATTCTTAATAATTCTAAAAAATGGATTCTAGTTATTTAAATGAGGTTTGTATATAAAATTACATATGTGATTATATAATTTGTTTAAATTTAAAAACTTAATATTTATTTATTATTGGCTGCTTTGCATTTAATAACTCTGTATTATTTTAGTTGAAAACCTTTTTTCATTGTATAAAAAATAGCAACAGTTATGATCGTGACATTCATCAATATCTGGGCATTACACAGCATCCTGAAACAAAAAATTATATAATAGTTATGAAACTTGCGCAGAATAGAGACCTACATTATTTTATAAATAAAGGCGCAAATACTTTATCTTGGATAAATAAATTAGAACTATTACGAAAAATTGCAACTGGACTTAGTTTAGTACACTATCGTAAATTTATTCATCGTGACCTTCATAGTGGCAATATTCTTATTAGCCAGAATAATATCCCAACAATTGCAGATTTAGGAATAAGCAAACCGGTAGATGCGTCATCAGATGAGAATACAATATATGGAGTTATTCCATATGTTGCACCAGAAGTATTAAAAGGAGGAAAGTTTATACAAGCTTCCGATATTTATAGTTTTGGTATGATGATGTGGGAGGTAATAAGTGGCTGCAGGCCATTTTCTGATCGTAAGCATGATGAACATCTTATTCTGGATATTCTTAATGGTATTCGCCCAAAAATTCCAATTGATATTCCACAAGAATTAGTTAAAATAATGGAAAGTTGCTGGCATTCAGATCCGGACAAAAGAGTTAAGC